CCCCCCCTTTCTGCTAAATGCAGCAGGGAGCTTTGTGATTGGAAAAGAGTCTGTCATGTAATCAGTAAAAAAAAAAATCAATTTTTTTTTGTTGATTTGCCAAAGCCCGGGGAGCATGAGGCATAGAATTTGTAAAGCACGCAGAATGCTTTGGAGCATGTAGAGCTAGGGTAAGAGCTATACGTTGTCTGCTGTGGAGGAGGTACTGTCTGTACTTCCAGGGGGGAGGTTTCTCACTACCTGCATGCATTGGATAAAACATAGGTTTGCTTTAAGATCTTGTACGACTGCGTACAGCAAGCTTGGATATATTCCCTGACGTTTTTAGAGCACCTTTCAGCCCGTTTTGGGGTATTAAGCACAGATCATACACTGTCAACTTGTCTGCTTTTAGTTTAGTAAAAGTATTGCACCATTTTCTGAAAGCCTGCTCGCAGCTTGTTTAAAGGGACGAGACAGACCTTGCACCTCCCAATCCAAAAATAAACGGCACTATGTTACCTTTGCTGCGATTCGGAGTAAACAGACATACTTGGTATCCCAGCCAATCCACTGATGTCCTCCTTTTCTCCTGCCACTCTGCCATCGTTTCTTCCAGTGATGAGGGCAGATCATACACTTGCAAAAAATGACTATCGAATATACAACTGGAATAAATGTTTATCTAATGGGTAATGAGAGTTCTGCTTTTAATCCAGAAGTGTACTGTAGAGAATCAGTGTTGGTTATCTTGCTGCAGTTGAAGGATGCACAGTGCTGCAATGGCATTAGTTCTATAGTGATTTGTATGTGTTGCCTTAGGTCTTTTATGGCTTGTATACACTAAATGTTGCTTTATGTCCATTCTGACATGTGAATTTGTCCCCCACAGGCTACAAGAAAGACCGTCAGACTGATCCCTTCTCAAAAACCATTCATTTTATGAACAATAAATAAAGTACATGTGTATCTGTAATTTTCTTTATTTACAAAATGTCAAGTTAAAAAAAAAACTGTACAAAAAGGAGGCATTGACATCCTGCCATGCTGTTCACGTTCAACAGTTTGTTGGAGGTATATGATTAAATAAACTTTAAGTTTCAGAAGAATTTCTGTTCTGTCTTCTGTAGAAGGCTAACATCTGTTTATTGCTCCAGCATTCTTATGAACCAGCTCAGGCTGTACGTCCACTTAGAGGTAGAAAACAAAAATGGGCTTTTTCTGAACACAGTGGAAAGAGCACAATTGTGAACAGTGACGCACGCATCATGACCAACAGACCAGACTTGCTTAATCTACGCATGTTCCAAGCAGTTTGCTACAGGTGGAAAACTCATAGTTACTCCTTGTCATGTTAGCAACCATTCCCGTAAAGGGCTAGGAACCAAGTTTGTTACTGGAATAGAAATTAGATCCTAGGAGACACACATTGGGAAAAATGTAACTAAAGCAATCACACAAGGCTGATCTTGAAATCAATGAAGTGTTTGGACACGGATCCCATAGTGAAAATAGGTAGTCGTACTTTAACTAAAACATGCAACAGATGAACGCAAAATATGAATTCCTGAGCATTCAGATTCACATTAAATGTTTGACTGGCACAAAAAAAGAATAACTCCTAATAGAAGGGTAGCTGTACAATGAGTCAAGGGGGAAGAAGCTCTAGTTTCTTATCAAAAACATTACACCACTGCAAAGCAGGGTGCTGGCAGCGTTTAAAGTGAACCTGTCACTGCCTAGTGTCTCAGCTAACAGTACAGTGAAAGCACATGGGCATTGTTGCGACAAAGTGCCTGCATTCATTCAATTTATCATACAGGGTATGAATTCTAAGTACACTAGGCCATTTCTTGGCAGTGGCTAATAAAAAGGAATTGGACTGAATGGTAGGGATTTATGGCAGGAAGTAGCACACTTAGTGGCATGTGTATAAAGCAGTGAATAACATTCACTGCCAGTGAATTGTCCAGGGGCATGTGTTGGATAAAAAAAGTGTAAATAGTCTTATGGCATCTACTACAACATCCAAACAAGATTAATGCAGGCACATACACCTCCTGTACATTTTAGGCTCCAAAAGTTAAAAAAGGAAAATACAACTTTAATTTATACCGAGTATGGGACTCAAACAGACATTATGTCAAACCTTCCCACTAAAATACTGGCCCTTTTTCACTGGTCCTTATGAGAAGCTATGACTGGCAATGTTCATGAATACGTAAAGCTATACACAGATGATTGGTTCTAGCCTAAGTGTTTTCTCTTCCCACAGAAAAGGATCTGAAATAGGGTCACTCACACCTCCCAGCAGGTGCAAGATCAGATGAAACCTTGAGCAGGATGATAAACGCATACACGCAACCTCTATGCTGCATGTGCTGCTTTGGTGACTACTACTGACCATTACCATCCATCAGTTAGTTGACCACTTGTCAGGTCCCATTGATCAGCACTGCTGTGAGGGAAGAGAATACACCCATGAGCTCTAGCCTTCACACTGCTACACTATATTAATCTCTCTAACTCTTCTGAAATTTCATGGACAAATGCTGAAGCATCAACTGTTAGTTACATAAATACAAGCACTCAGTGCTTAAACTATAACTGTCAAATGCGCACAGCACCAGTTTTGCATTTGTTATCTATTCCTCTTGTTTTGTTGAGTCAGTCTAGGGCATAAACAAGGCAGTGTGGAGAATGCAAGAGTCTTGCAATAAATTGACATCAGAATCCCATTTGGTAACATTGCATAACATGGTCTCGGCCCTGGTCAGACAGTCAAGAGTCAGACGGAAGAATATTTTTTTTTTTTTTTTGCATCAGCTAGAAAGTGCAATTGTTCATTGTGGGCTAAACGCTCCAGCAGCCAGAAGAAGGTTTCTTCGTGTGAAATGAAGATGAACAACAGGCGTGGATTTTGTCAGATAGGACCCAAGAAGTAGCTCTTGGCAATTTTCATTCAAGTTTATATGTCCTGCAGCACTTGTGAAGTCATCTGTTTCCAAGTCTTCAAAAGCTTTTATTGCATCCCATAAACAAACTGTATTATCCATTGAACCTAAATGTGGGAGGCAAAACCAAAAATAATGTTTCAAATCAGAAAACAAATACAAAGTCAGCCAAGTAGATTTTACAGTGTTATTCACAGAACTATAAAGATTATGGAAAAGTCAAATTATCTTCTAGGACAACATAGAGCTGGAGCATTTTCCAAATTCGCTATGTTGTCCTAGATTGTTCACTTCTGCCTTCTCAAAACTCTTCCCTCTTTTGTAAACACTGTTGGTTTTAGTAAATCAAGATTTGGGAAGAATGACATTTTTGTATGATTTACTTCATTCGTTACAGAGAAGGTAATGCTATAGCAGTTCTCCTGTACTGAACCATGCATTTCATACACTGCCTAAAACTCCAGCGACATTGTACATGCATGCACCAACATCCACCTCGGCATCATTTGTCACAGTGCCTACCACACAACCCAGAGCGGAGTTATTTATTTTGGTAGGCCAGACACGCACACTGCCCCCACTACATTTTATAGCAACTCTCCCTGCACAATCTAGTCTATGCTGCCTCATGAAAACCCTGATAAATGTGTTATCAGATTTATTCAGTATCTTAATCATCCAGATGTGTTCATATTTAAGGATGAGTTAGCAACCATATTTACAACACTGTGCAGGCTGCGACATTCAGCCCTAGACTTCTTCCTTACGCTTTATTGAATGCCCAACATTGGAAATCTCTACCTGCTGCCTCAATGATACTTTACACTCCATGAACTCTCATTTCACTCTCTGATCCACAATACTGCCCTTTCTACAGTACACTGGCATGACGGAGACACGCTATGTGTATGCCAAGACTGTACTGGTATGAACTGCAGTGTTTTCACACATCTGGTGCAATAGTGAACTTCCTTTCCCCAGCCATAATCATTAAAGTCGCACCCCATTTGTTCATCAGCTCCTGCATTTTTTTTTTCATCCAAATGGCACACATGTCTCTCACCATTCCAATATGAGCAACAAGCAACTCACACTGTCTCTTCTCTTCCCTGGTCCATGCTTATCTCCTCTTCTGAAGCCAAAGCCATGATGAACATCCATTTTGCATATTCTCCCAAAAGCTCACAAAGTGCTCCACACTCTGCCTGCCCCCCATTCCTCTTCCTTTATCTCCCTCATACTCAGCATCCTTGACCACACTACCTCCTCACTTGCCCCTGGTCTGGTAGTGCTGTGTCCACTTTCCTGATGGTTCTTACTAGGATAAGCTTTGATCTGCCTTCTCCCTCCATTACCACCCCCCATTCCACAACAACAACCTACAATCTTCCTCCTATCCCCAGTGAGCCAAGATCTGCACCTCTCGCTGCAGTGTGCTGACACTCTGCTCCTGCCTATAAAATTGCAACGTAATGGATAAAAATGAGTAAACATTAATTAGGTCTAAATATAAAAAAGAAACAATCTGGTTTGATTGTCTAGCATGGTGTACCAGTGTGAATCAGACACATTCAGTCTAAATTAACCTGGTTAAGCACACTAAGTTCCTTGATATAAAACCACATACAGATGACTAAACTGAAGTTGAACTGCAAAGTATCTGACTATTTGGTTTGAATGAGCCTAGCTTTCCATCTCATGCTACAGCTGCCTCTGTACTAAATGAATACACATTAAAATAATTCATGGACATACCTGATGCTAAAATCTCTCCATCTCGGCTAAACCTAAGTGCATAGATTGTGTTAGTGTGACCCTTTAATTCTCCAACCATCAAACCGTGGCCGATATCCCAAAGCAAGACTCTGCCGTCTGTTGCCCCAGTAGCCAGAAACTTTCCATTTGGAGTAAATGCCAATGCGTGAATTGGTCCCTGCAGAAGCAAAAACATTAAGAACAAAGTCAACAAAAGCCTACTACACAGTTTCAACTTGACACATATGTACCCCAGATATAGAACATGCATATAAAGACCTACGAGAGCTCTGTGAACCAACATATTTTTAAGTATTAAAAGAAAAGCAAACGCAAGAACAAAAATGTAATCTATGGCAGCTTGCTAGTCCTTAGATGTGGTGGCTGGATCATTTTTCAGGCCAAGAACAATTTCAGCAAAAAAAAAAAAAAAAAAAAAAAAAAAAAATTTTTTTTCAAAAAAAAATTTAAAAAAAAAAAAAAAAAAAAAAAAAAAAAAAAGCACCTGTTGATCCTTTGAGAAAAGGTAATGTCCTCACTTCCTGTGAACTAAACTGAACATACAAACAACCTAATCTTCCTTCCATGCTTCTGTAAAGTACCCAGTACAGTGACAACCACGGCTACATCCAGAGACAAAGTGGAGTGAGCATAGCCACCCTAGGACATGGAAATGTGTAATTTGGAGGATTACTAGGTGAGAACATAAAAAAACCAAAACAAAACTGTTCCAATAACTGTTCAATGTCATGATTGAATAGCAGATGCTCATATCATGATTGTAGCAGCATGTAAATAAGAGTCGTTGGCAAAGGGTACATTTTCTAAACATTTGGAATATGCCATTTTAACCTTCATATACTGTACAGAGATGAGCGTGAAACAATTCACTAATTACCTTGTGTCCAGTAAAAATCCTCACACAGTTGCCATTTAAAACATCCCATACTCTGACCGTTCTGTCTGTAGAGCCCGTGGCTATGTAATTGGAGTTTGGATGAAAACGAGTACTTATGACATCTGCAAGATGGCCGGCAAAGATACGTAGAGGCTGATAATGGTCCGTGGCCCATAAGCTGTTAAAGACATGGAAAAAAAATCATCAGGTGGACATGGAAGTTTGGCATGGCTTATATCAAATAGACAGCCTGTTTGGTTACCCAGAAAGTAAAAGTATTTTCGTAGAAAGTACATTTACCCTGTTAGAGTAACGTCTCCCGGATGCAGTTACCTGAAACTCAATTCTCAGCCCATCACACCGCTTACATTCTGCGGACTCAACTACCTTCCTACTGGCTGCAGCTGGGTCCTCAGACTTCTATGGGTCAGTCTTCCAAGCGTCTCCTGCCTGTGGAGACTGTGCCATAGAACTCTATAGGGATTCACTGCACAAGCAGAAAAAAAAAAAAAAAAAATGGATGCCAACATTGCAGTGGGCCATAGGATGATATGTAGGGCAAAAATATTAAGTGCCCGCTATCTGAAAACACATTTATCTTTGAACTGAATGCCAGCAAGAATACACAAAAACACCAAAAGAATAGGGTAGTACTGATTTGAGAAGAAAGCCAAGCATCAAGGATACAAATGGTAAGTTAGACATTTACCGAGCAACTCTGTCATGTCCTCCGGACACAAAGTAGTACCCATATGGAGAGAACTGTGCATCCCACACTGGATAGTTATGCCCTTTGTATGCCACTAAGCAGGTGAATGTCTGCAGACTCCATAAACGGACTGTGCCATCTTCTGAGCTTGATAATAAGTAATTCCTAGGATATAAAACCAAAAATGACGATTCAATAAGACAGAAATGACCAAATTATACTGAAGGTACAGTTAGATTATTTCACTGATAATACAACACCTATGGATAAAATGTCTTAGCAACTTGAAGCATAAGGATGTACAATTCCTACCAAAAATAATGACATTTTCTATAAATAAAATAATGTTTGTACAATATGCAATAATATACAATACCTAGTAAACACACACCAAATCGCATTGCATGGAAAAGCTGGTGGCAACAGCTCAGTTATGCACCAGTGTTTGTCAGCAAAACAACTGATCATCTACTAATAGTAAAGGCAGCAAGGGAAGTAAACCAACTTTTATTATAACGTGCACAATATGACAATTTCCGCCTGATGCCCCATAAGGCAGAAAAGAGAAACGGACCTGTTTTGAGGCCAAAAATGTTTTGGTTGCAAATGTGTAAAAATAGGACAGAACCAACACTAGGATACAAGTTTAGCATTGTATCGATTGACAGCAGGCTTATTGGTAAGCTACCCCAATTCCTTGTTGTGACGCACACAAAAATAGCAGCTGAAGACTTCTCATGTGCATACACCAAAAACAACAGCATAAAAGTCAGATGTTTCGACAAATGAAAACAAATAAGGGCATGGACTATAATGCATGCAATACAAATAAGACCATTTGGGTACAGTTCCTGCTAGCATGCACAGAGGACATTTTGAACTCTTCCCAATGTAATCGGGTAAGCCTGGATTTTTCATGTGCTTCTACCATAATAAAATGGGTCACCTCCAGGTAAGCCTACTTTCAATGTATTTAAAGCTGCACATACCACAGTTGGTGCTCCAATTAGAAGACTGTGATGCAGGAGCCATCATAAATGCTTTACAGATATTTGCAAACCTCTTCACACTGGACATTGCACAGTATCTGTGAATTGAATTGTGCACCCTGTGAATTCATCTCACATTACTCTGCCATGTTTTAAAAACTGATCAAGTTGTTGCCTTTTTGTTGCTGTTTAGGTTTGTTCCGTTAGACTGAAGTTTCATTTTAAGGGAGTTGTGTCATAAGCAACAGGTTCTACTTCCTTATGAAAATGGATATTTTGTTAATGTTAACCAACAAATGTATGTACTCTCCAAACCACTGTGAAAAATACCACCATTTCCCACCTGTCTGGACTGAAGCTGGTTGCATAGACAGGCCCGCTGTGACCATATAAAACCTTTATCTCACTTGAGGTCTTCTCATCCATAATCCTTTCCAGAACGTCATCTGCTTCTTTGTCTATCACGCCGAGATCTAAGAAAGGTGACGTTTATTAGTTTCTAAAACTGAGGTTTTATTTCTGTTTTAACAATTTGACATTCAAGACATGGCAAAGGATTCCCCCAAGAACTACGAGTTAGCTAAAGAGACATAGCAGTAGCACCCTGCCTCATCGACTAAAAGTTCACTCTAATCCATTTCATAAAGAATAGGTCAGTGGAATGCAAGACTGACTCCTGTGTGTAAATTACAGCTTGTGCTACAGAGTTTTTTTGCAACAGACTACTAAGCAGTAGTTAGATGACAAAAAAACCCACAACCCACACCAAAGCCTAAAAAGCACCACTTGCTAGATAACAAAATGCAAACTAGTATGGAATTTTACCTTACTCAAAAATGGTATTCCCGACTATAAAAGGACAAACCACTAGTTTATGAGCCGGATAGGGATGATTGAGCCACGTGCCCCTGACATTCACAGAAGTGTGTGATGCTGAAGATTCTAGTGGTGCATTTAACTGTACATGAATGTGAAAGCTGGATTCACTAGAGGTGCCCTTAAAGACCTGAATGGGGAAAGGGTGTCAGAACCTGGTGGTCAGAGGTGAAAGTGACTGAGGGGCAGGTTGGATATTTATGTGCAGACAGTGAGGATTAGAGTATGTTTGTGTCATAATGAAGCTGTGAACTAAATGAGCACACCCATTAGGGAAGCAGATGTCAGTTTAGTCGTGACTGAGACCAGGTCATCAATATTTCTTCAAAGAGCAAAAAGAAAACCCCACATATATCAAATGGAAACAATCCGACACCTAGAACTATGGAGCACTGACACAAAAAGCTAGCGTACAAGGTTTGTGTTGAAATCAGTATCCTGACACATCTCGCACATTACCAAACCATTAACTAAAATTACCAGATGTGCTTTTGACACTCCGAAGTTTTCTGGGCGTCAGACTCCACACGCGCACAGTAGAATCCGCAAACCCTCCGGCGATCATGCTGGAATCATCCGTAACATCCACCGCAGTCAAACCCTGCACAACAATAACACACAGGCTGTTTTATCAGAAAGATGCTGAATGATAAGCGTACGCATAATACAGATTCCATTTACCAAGAACATGGCATCTAGTGAAAAACTACCTACCTGGTAAGCATTCAGGAATGAGTAGAAACAGATCGTAGGCAAAAAATCAGGGCTAAGGCGAACCCTTTTGGCAGCTTCCTTCATAATCATGATTTTATCCAGTTTATCAGAATCCTTTAGTTCAGGAAGAGGAATTCTAAAGAAAAAAAAAAAGAGAAGGTCAGGTAACAAACAGAAAAGATAGTGAGGGGAATTTATCAAAACTGGAGCATGGCAACCAATCAGCTTCTTTCATTTTCAAGTCTTAAAGGAGAACTATGGGCTAAGTGTTTTTCCCCATAGTTCTAAAGGTCGTGGGAGGACATAAACTAGCGTCCTCCCGTCACCCAGAGCTCAGTACATCACGAGCTACAGCTTGCGGTATACGGAGACCTTTTTGAGAAAGTCATTGAACGAAACATGTCAAAGGAAAACCTGCCTTCATCTCTCTTAGCTGAGTGCTGCTAACGCTCAAAAGCTCGATTTTTTTCGTTGTTTCCGTAAGTGCATTTGAGTTCTTTTATGAAATAAATATTCGTGTTACTGCACTTAGATAGCCTCCTCTGTCTCCTTCAAATTTTTCCCTGGGGGACACTATTAGGTGAACGCCGCCATTCCAGGCGGCGAGGGATCAGGTGACCGAAGGAGACGGAGAGACCCACGCCGGTACTTGACAAGGAGACATTAGAAGGGGTTGGAAAACCAGAACTTTAAAAGACCTCTTTAACAAGGAGCCCCTCTTGGGGAATTGTCATTGAATGTTTGGAGGACTGCCGGACAGATTGATCAAGTGTCACTGAGAGAAGGAAGTTGCCCTTTCTTAAAGTGCTGTTCGTTGGTTATGCATGTAATGATACATGCCCCTTGAAATGTCAGTTTCTTTGCTGTTATTTTGGAGTTTTGATTTATTTGCACGTTTTTATTTTTTTTACCTAATTCTGAAGGTTCCAGTGTTGATTTTTATTATTCTTATTATGTTTGTGTGTTGAACCTTCTAGTCATATGTAAATAATCCACTTGAATCAATTTTTTCACACGGATTGTTGTAATTTTTACACAGATTCGTTTATTAACACTTTAGTGTGCAGTTGGTTCACATAGACCGAGCACAACATATTTGCTTTACATTGGTATACGGAGACCGCCGCAGCCGGGACAGACCGCGACATTACTGTCGAGATCCGCCCATCTGCGTTAGTGACAGATGACTACCTATCTAGAGGCAGACCCAGATGTACCCGCCCCCTCCACTGTTCGTTCCTCCTGTCAGCACTGGAGGGTCGGAGTGGGGGGGGGAATCCCTGCAGGGAGCCATGAGTGACAGTCACGGCTCTCTGCAGGGTCAGAATGGAGAAGTGAGCTAGCGACAGTATGTGTTCGCTCACTTCCCGACAGTATGTGTTCGCTCACTTCCCGACAGTATGTGTTCGCTCACTTCCCGATCTATTGAGCCGACTTGTGACAGTCTCATTGTCCCACGCCGGCTCGGACTATGAGGATGAGTGTAAATCACTCACCTCATAGTTCTCCTTTAACTGAACAAAACTGAAGATAGAAGCTGATTGGTTGTCATGGGCAACTGCTCCAGCTTTGATAAAATTCCTCCTGTGTGTCATCCAACTTCAGTGTGCCCAACTACCAAACAGAGCCCTCTACTACTTAACATCCCCGTTTGTCAAAAAAAAATAGCGATACTCCAGGTAGATATAAAAAGGGAAATGAATCGAGCTATTAAAATCACATCATATATTATAAACCCAGCCAGTAAAAGCAGCTGAATTTGACTTGGTATTAAACTCTGCAATCCCCCATGCAGCAGCACGCAGACTGGGACAGGACGGCGCAGGATTGGGAGCCAAATAGGTGCGCTGCATGCAAATGTGTGGACAAGAAACAAAAAAACAGAGCAGAGAGATGACTTAGTCTTGCTGCTGCTACTTTGCTGTTCAGTCCGCAAGCTAGCAGTGGAGAGACTACTGTATTAGCTCATTATTCCTTAAATCTAAGTGACGTCCTCCACCTGACCATGCTATGTTATAGGGTTGAAAATCTCGGGACTAGATTCAAAGAAATACAAATCCCTTGACAGCTAAAACTCTCTTAGATGCATTTCATCTGGGCACTCAGCCATTTGCCTGAAGTTCAGCTTTAACTTCTATTGCCCACAATACAGGAATGTGCGTGCTGAACATCCCAGATGTGGAGAGATCCATTGTGTGTTGATGGCAATGAATACATCAGAAAGGAGTAGGGGGTTCTTAGATGCTTTCACTGAGATGGAAGCTGCTCAGGGAAGAGTTCCTAAGATATGTGACATTTCTATACCTGTTCTGAGGTGGTGCATTCGGGTCCTGCTTCTTGCTTTTTGAGCCAACACTATCCTTCTTTGGCTTCTTTTTCTTTGGCTTTCCTTCTTCATTTTCTCCTTCCTCGTCTTCATCGTCCAAAGGGACTTCAATCTCTGGTTCTTTCAGAAGACCAAAGAACATCTGCAAAAATATACATTTGGAATTCTTCAGTAGCTTATACCTGGACACACACAAATATATAACTGCTTGAAATACACACCTTCACTTTGTTTGCTTCACGCTTGGCTTCCCCAGACAAGCTGCCCACCATGGCATCTATCTGTTGTTTGCTTCGTGGCATGCCATCAAATATATCAATGTACAAGTGTTCCTGTACTATGCTCCATATCTGATTGTTCTGCCTCTCCTGGAGATGGCGCTTAAGCAGCTGATAGGAGTCCCGGGATATTCTTAGCACAAACTTGCTTGTTCGGAAGTCTAACATGGTCTCGTTGCCTTTCATGTGCTCCTTCTTGGAGAGGCTGGCTAAAATGCGGAGATCATCTTCATAGTAACATTCCTGGTCTCCATGGAATCTTGAATAGAAAAAGTTGTAGGTTTGAAAAATAAGAGTAAGTGTTGGTCCTCGATATGTGTAGTAATAAAATGTTATAATTATGGTGTGTGACGAGCATTAATGAGCTGTAGTGCCATTCATGCTGAACAGCACCCCAATATGCCATCCGAGTGCACCTGCGAAAATGCTAAACGCACAATTTTTGGTCCAATGTGGGGCACTGGACAGCCCATTCAAATACATGGGATACCCTAATGCCACGTACCTGCATTTACTACACCGAAGCAGATTGGGCTAGTGTGAATGGGCCTCAAGAAGATGAAGTTTGTACTTGCGGTGATGCTGCTCCTTTCACTACACAGCACAATAATTATGGATGCACCGATAACGATTTTTCAGTATCGAGTACCGATTTTTTTACGGCACTCGCCGATACCGAATATCCCATGAAGGAATCCAGGCGGCGTGTAATGACCCGCCCACCTGGCTTGCTGATTAGCCAGGAACCGTCTCCATGCTCCCTCGTCACCAGATGACAAGGAAGCATGGAGCCGGCTTTCTGGCCAATCAGGAAGGGGGGTACAGGGTACATCTGAAGCTCGGGCATCGTGCTAGGCATCGGAGCATCAGTATCAGCACTGATACTAGTATTGGTAGATGTGCATAACAATCATAAAGCATATGATCCCTAACAATCATAAAGCATATAAGATTCTATATCCTTTAAGAGGAACAATTTTGTTTTTACATTTTCAGATGCAAACTGGAGTTTTCTTGCTCAATATACCGACACATTAGAGACCATTTGCAATTGGGTTAAATATCAGAAAATTCAAACTTAAAGAACTATGGGGTCAGGGCTTTTCCCATAGTTCTCCTAAGGGTAACGGGAGGACACAAACTAGCGTCCTCCCATCACCCAAAGCTTAGTATACCGTGAGCTACAGCTCACAGTATACCGAGACGCCGCAGCCGGGACGGATCCCGACATTACTGTCGAGATCCACCCAGCTGCGGGATTGACAGCAGCTGGGTGGCCCCCTCCCCATTCCACCAGTCAGCTGTGAAGGATCGGACAGGGGAGAGGGGGAATCCCTGCATGGAGCTGTGAGTGATCCACGTCTCCACATCTGGGATGTTCAGCACGCACATTCCTGTATTGTGGGCAATAGAAGTTAAAGCTGAACTTCAGGCAAATGGCTGAGTGCCCAGATGAAATGCATCTAAGAGAGTTTTAGCTGTCAAGGGATTTGTATTTCTTTGAATCTAGTCCCGAGATTTTCAACCCTATAACATAGCATGGTCAGGTGGAGGACGTCACTTAGATTTAAGGAATAATGAGCTAATACAGTAGTCTCTCCACTGCTAGCTTGCGGACTGAACAGCAAAGTAGCAGCAGCAAGACTAAGTCATCTCTCTGCTCTGTTTTTTTGTTTCTTGTCCACACATTTGCATGCAGCGCACCTATTTGGCTCCCAATCCTGCGCCGTCCTGTCCCAGTCTGCGTGCTGCTGCATGGGGGATTGCAGAGTTTAATACCAAGTCAAATTCAGCTGCTTTTACTGGCTGGGTTTATAATATATGATGTGATTTTAATAGCTCGATTCATTTCCCTTTTTATATCTACCTGGAGTATCGCTATTTTTTTTTGACAAACGGGGATGTTAAGTAGTAGAGGGCTCTGTTTGGTAGTTGGGCACACTGAAGTTGGATGACACACAGGAGGAATTTTATCAAAGCTGGAGCAGTTGCCCATGACAACCAATCAGCTTCTATCTTCAGTTTTGTTCAGTTAAAGGAGAACTATGAGGTGAGTGATTTACACTCATCCTCATAGTCCGAGCCGGCGTGGGACAATGAGACTGTCACAAGTCGGCTCAATAGATCCACCCAGCTGCGGGATTGACAGCAGCTGTGCCCGCCCCCTCCCCATTCCACCAGTCAGCTGTGGAGGATCGGACAGGGGAGATTAAAATTCATTTCAGTACAGCGCTGCATGACGGAATAAACGTCAGTCAAAGTACCGCAGCGCTGAATACTGAAAAATGGCCTGGCTAGGAAGGGGGTCTAAACACCTGGTCTTGAAGTGGTTAATGCTGCACATCATTTACATTGCAAGATGAATCCCACCCCTCAGACCTCTCTGCCCGTTAGTGTGTTGCTTAGGGCACCTGCAAAAGAAAACCCACTAACATCCCTTGCCACATTGCTCACCTGTCAAAGAAAGATTTGGCTTTGTTTTCGTGCTGATTGTAGACCAGTTCCAGATACATGTGTACAAAGAGAGGGTAGAATAACTGAGATAGCTCTGCTCGATGGCAGTCCAGTACAGACTCAATGAATCGCTTTAGGCCACTGTAATATTCCTCATACAGAGCCGGATCGCCTTGCTGGGTGTATGCAGACAGAACAGCACTGACATCTGGCTGGTCCTGTGGGCCACTATTTATTATTATGCCTGAAAAGAAAAAAAAAAAAAGTGACATTATAAAATCAGAATTGTTATAATATTTAATGATTATATTTGAGCTTGCAAAGAAAACACCATTAGCAATATGAATTCACTGAATGTTTTCATTCGCAATCACGTAAAGTCACTGCTGAGAATACAGACAGAATCTGAACTTCTACATAAACTCAGTGGGGGGAATTTAGCAAAACTGGAGCAGAAGAATCTGGAGCAGCTGTGCATGACAGCCAATCAGCTTCTCTCTTCAGTTTGCTCAGTTGAGATTTGAAAATGAAAGAGAAGCCGATTGGTTGCCATGCACAACTGCTCCAGTTTTGATACATTCCCCCCAGTGCGTGTCTTTAGAAAGTACAAAACACAAAGCAAGATTAAGATGAAAAACTAGAAAGTGGGGATCCCAAACGAGAACAGGGAATGCAAAGAGCATAGTGCTAGCCATACACACCAGAAAACATGGTGTTTGCTGTAATGTCATGCAATAGAACTGACCAGCTCAATGGAGCAAAAAGTGGTTTGTGCCAACGTTTACATATGTATACATACTCTACTGGAGCACAAGTCTGTGCCCCCCAGCAGCCAAGGGCGCCAAGCAGCAGGAGCCCTCCGCGCCCCCAGGAGCCAAGGGCGCCAAGCAGCAGGAGCCCTCCGCGCCCCCAGCACACAAGGGCGCCCAGTAGCAAAAGCCTTCCGTGCCCCCAGCAGCCAAGGGCGCCCAGCAAAAAAAAGACCTCTGCGCCCTAGCACCCAGCAGCAAAATCCCTCTACGCCCCAGCACCCAAGGGCGCCCAGCAGCAAAAGCCCTCCTCGCCCAAGCAACCAAGGATGCCGATCAGCAGGAGCCACCTGCGCCCTAGCAACCAAAGACGCCGATCAGCATCATCTATGGAGGTCTCATCTATGGAGGTCTCATCTATGGAGGTCTCATCTATGGAGGTCTCATCTATGGAGGTCTCATCTATGGAGCAGCCAGCAGCAGTCACATTCATCTGGACTGGTCCTGTAATGAGGAGGATGCCTCCTAGCTGGAAGAAGAGACTTGGGTAAGCTATGGAAGGTCCTCACGAACCCTGAACAAGTCCAACTGATTGTGACTTACCGAAGTGCCCTGCACCTCTGGAAGCTGAGAGGCTCTTGTGGGGGGGTTTCCATTATTTTGGCCATGTCTCCGGGGACCCCATAGAGCAGCCCTATCGTTCTCACCTTTTCCCGCTGTGTGCGCGGCGGAGGAGATGGCCGCACTGCCGGCGGTGACCCGGCTCAGCAGACT